GGAAGCATGAGCCAGTCAAGTAACTCGCTTGAAACGCCCGGCGGAGAAGCAAGCCGCACGATGCGTCCACAACAACGAAGGCACAAGCGAATCGGATAACTTAACCACGCGTGTCACAACAGCAGTACTGCGCTCGAGATATTTCGATAGAAAGTGAGTGGACGAGGAGAGAGGGAAAGTAATGTGGGAGGGAGATAAGTGCACTGCTTAGGCGGGAGCAGGTGCTTTGGTTCAAGGCGAGAGCCCACTGTATGGCCCGCCCCGGGCGGCTCTCCGGAGCTTTCGTGTCCCCGTCCTAAGTGCCGTGGGCTTTCCCCGAATCCGGCCGATGCACCTCCGGTGTCGACAGGAGGATTTTGTCTCTGTCTTGGTGGCAAACCAAACAACGGCCAGGTCTGTGACTGAGACCCGGTTTTTCCCGTCAATTTGCCACGCGGTAACGCCTCCCCTCCTCTCCTCTTCAGCGAACGCTCGTGCTTTCTCTTTCAAGCGAGAGCCATTCACCAAGGTCATCGGCTTCATTCGCCGGACGATGTGGTCCTTTGTTGACGCTGCTACTCTAACCGTCGGCATAATTTGAGCTTGGTCCACGTCACCACCTGTGATGTTTGTTCTCTGCCTAGGCGTGGCTGTTTATATAACTCAATGCTAAGTTAAATGAGAGACACTCGGTAACTTTATCGTTTCGTTGCTCTAGGTTTTGCCAGTTGTCATGTAATGATATATGTTAAGTCACACGCTGGGATACTACACTCGCCTGCTCAGGTCCATAGATTTGACCTATCTCCACAAACAATAAATATTAAGGCAAACTGTTGAGGCCATTGCCAAGTAACACACGCAAAACTCAATGCCCGGGGCTCCCACCTTATTGAGTGATAGATATGTAGAGTTTGACGTCTCAAAATCACCATATGATTATAATAGACGCCGTGTAGGAGGGTTCCGAAAATTCAGACCACTGACCACTTGAGGTTTTCTAGCATGCACCCAAATCTGAGAACATGGGCCGACAGCATTTTCGCCTTTATTAAAATGCAGTCGCCGCAGTCGGGATTCGATCCCGCGACCTACGGGTCAGCAGCCGAGTACCTTAGCCACTAGACCACCGTGGTGGGGCTGGGGCTGCCACCTGACGTTCTCTTTAAACCAGGGTCTCGTATGACTACCCTAGTTACATCTGTCATGAAATGCCGTATTAATAAAGCTCTGCGAGTGAGTTCAGGTCTTGACTGGCCATAATAATGAATGCCTATCTTCTATTGGAGTATTGCATCATTCGAGGGTAAACATGCGATGATCAAATGCTTGCATGTGCTATGTGGCGAGCCTCCATTCGTACCTGAGGAGGCTCGTAGTATTCCTACACAGGGCGGTTTCACGTGCATGGCCGGGGTGTGAGTGGCTAACTTGTCCATTTGTTTTACGAATCTATAATCCGCTGTATATTCTTGTTAGCATAATGACACGATAGATATAGTTATGTACTTGGTAGCGCTAGACAGCCATGTTTTGTAATAAATAGTAAATGAATAAATAAGTAATTGAATACATAAATAAACAAGTGCACAAGTAAAGTGAACGCAACTAGAAAAAGGTTAAGGCACAACTCAATCTCTGCAAAAATGAAGATAACCATGTAACGAGTGTCAATTCTATTCTTCCATATCAAGGCCGTGCTTATTTTAAGAATCATACACGGCAGACACCTAGTACATTTCAGCGAGGTTCTTGAACTTCTGAGAGGTGAGCACTGAGCATGGCCAAATCAATGTGCACGAGCTTTTGCGCCGTGTGGCTCTGAAAGCTTACAAAGGACACGCTTTCAGGCTGCTTGGTTAAATTATCGCAAGAGTTCATGATATTTACTATTAAAATATGAGTGCACACGCTGAAATGCCGAAAAATTGTATAGAAATAATGAAACATTGATTTGGTCTTTCAGCATCGTGTAGGAAGTCACATCTTAGTTCGTGCAAAAGATAAGAAAACAAACGCTAATTATTTCCCAGTAATCATTACCAGCATTGAATTCCATTTGGAAATAGGGTATATATATACCTCTCTGTTTAGATTGCACCTGCAAAACCACCTACGAATTATTAAAACACCTATACACAATTTAGAGAGAAGGCCCAATAAGATTCCTCGGCGCGTATTGTCTTGATGTGCTACATTTTCGCAATTACAAGGGGCATGGACAAGATTAGCATGTGCGTTCGAGTTTGTGGCCACTCAGACCTCTTTTTACTGACCTGTAGCATTAAGGGAACTGACAACCAATTTTTATGGTAAATACTTTCTTTAGCGCAAAGAAAAGCTTACCGGTTGGAGTGTCTATTCGTGGAATGGTAACGTGGAAAACACCGAGAAGAAGTTGCAAACAGATTTTTTCTTTAAATCGAAGTAACATATACGCGTGACAACGCATGCTGCAAACAGCGATGGCGAGAGCAGTTTGTGTTCGACCATCATACTTTACTGCGCATGCGCGGCTTGACGTGGTCCATTGGCTGCCGCAAAGGCAGCACAGTTTCTCGTCATGCAACTCCTTTGACCTCGTAAGTAGCACAGAATAGAGCGGGGAAAGATAATAGTGAAAATACACTTAAATATGGCACGCATCACAAGATCCGAGTAAGTGACTATACGTCCACCAAAATATTCGACTCCATAATCCAGCTTCAAGTCTCTCCACACGGCTGCGTGACAAACCATTTATTTATTTATTTTTACTTTTAATCACTGTTTAAAATTTTGTCATCTATTCACAACCTGAAAATGGTGCGGAAACATGTTACCATATTTCCTGGCCATTTTCTTTCTACCAGAGTGTAATCGCACGTTCTACCACTTTATTGGTCCTTTTACGGCCACGTGCAAATAGAAGAAAACAAAATAATGAAGCACACGAGAAAACTGCAACTCATTGCGAACAAAATTTGTTTAAATTACGAGTGCAGTCTTTATAGAAGGTTGAACTAAAACCCTACAAACATCAGAAGAAAATATGATACATTGCGGTGATTCACAAAATGGAAGAACTTAAGACGAACAGGCCCCGTATACATTTGAAATGGGACGAAATTTTGGCAAATGTGGAATATGAGAAGTTGGCAAACGATTGAAACGGTTATTGTCATACGATATTATTTCAAGTCGGCGGTCCCTGAAATTGATGCTATGCGGATGATCATTTTGCCATGATGCAAGGATACTGCTACACATGCGTTGAGTGGGCCGAGAATGAAATAATAATAATACCAATAACAAATAAGGAAGAATTGGCTAATAGTGAATTTTTTTAACATGTGTCTATATGAGACTCAAAGTTTACGATTCACTTGCTCATCCTATTGTTATAGCTATGGCATAACCTTGAGCCACTGCTCGAATTTAAGTGAATGATGTTATCGATTTTACATAGACTGTCGTAATACTTATCTGTTTGCATCGCGTATCGGGCTAAAATCACTGTCACTGTAGCACAAAAAGGCGCTTCATTTATTCTGATTTATCAATGAGGACACCATTAAAGAGAGATATGGGAACCTTAGAAGTGGGATAAACGTTTTTGAACCATTATGTATATTTATAAAACCACGAGATGGTTAGATTATATTCCTCAGGACATAGCCAAAAGACTGTAGAAGAGTGAATAACTTGTATTGGGTGCATCTCATTTACGTTTATATACTCATGGTGTCGTAAAGATCGCCAGCGGTTCGATGGCGTTGAACACCCTGAATATTCTTCAAAGAAGGTAAATCAAAGCAATAACCAGCAGACGACACCACCTGAAAGAGTAGTAATGATAAGAAAATGTCTAAAACTGGCCCCAGGATTACAGTTGGTTTTTTTTCTGCTGTCAGTGATGAATAGAGCTGACTTCTCTACTTGTGATACTCATAGCTCGCTGTGTTAAGTGCACGTCTCGTGAATTCTTTCTGAAGTACTAGTCCACCGAAATCTGCTTGCGGCTTTCTGCGCAGCTGGAGAAGACGGCGGCAAAACTCCCGGCCTTTCTCTGCATCTCTCTCTGGAATAAAAGCTCCCCCCCCCCCACAAACAAAAAAAAAAATCATGATGCCCAGCACCCTTCCTACATTTGCGAAGTCTCCATAATACTACACGTACAATATGAAAGTCGTGTCTGTCCGAGAATCCACGTATTCCAATTTATACTGATATGTTTCTAGTTCGAATTTACTTTCCCGATAGTGCTGATGGCGCACACACATGTTTACGAGGAAAGCTCGTAGGTCCTAAACGAGGGGTGGTTACTTTTCACTTTCCCGTTCGCCACTTCAAGCCCTTTCTAGGGCAAATGTCATTTTCAGTCTTGATTTTAATTATTCACTGTTTTCCTTCAGCTATAAAGAATGTCCATGGTAGCAAGAATGCCCCTTTATAAAATTTAGTGCTTGAAGAAGTTAGCATCCTTTGAACCGTGAAGGCCTAATAAAAGCACTGGGTTGTTGAGTACATTATTGCTAGCCTGTTGCAAGCGTCGCATTATATAAAGTAGTCTGGCTTCTAAGCTTACTTGCCATCTTCAATTTAAGCACAAAGTTTGAACCAAGCACGCTTGCTCTAATCCCATGCGGAGGCATTAGATCAGTGATCTATATATGACTTTGAAGTTTGTAAAACCTGTAGAAATAACGAAAACGCGTCGATTACCAATTGGAAACAACAACAACAACAAAAACCGCTGCCACTCTTATGACGCACAACAGCTCTTACAAAATATTTAGCACAACAACGTGCCGTAAACCGTAACGAGAATCAAATCATTCAGCCAAAAAAGTGCTCTTGCGAGCGCGCATCTATCTGGTAGTTGTCGATCAGTAGGCGTGTCCCGCAGCCGCTCCCCAGACCAGCAAGCGTGCCATGGCGCTGCTCGGTGGCAGCGGCACGGGACGCCGCCGCTTGGCTGCGGATACTGGCGGGGAAGCGGCGTGGACCACGACGAAAGTTAATGGAACCGGCGGACTCACCAATTTCATGGCGCCTTTGTTTACAGCCGGTACTCCCGGTCTCCAGACAACGAATGGCAGAAAAACGACAGGGCTTGAAGAGCAAGGGACGACTTTCAAGGTCTCCTCCGAGCCGCTTGGTTTTTATACCGGTTGCCTGTTGCCCCACCTCTCCAACGGAAACGCGAGAGGGTAGGGGCTCACGGACGGGGCAAGAGGACAGATCTCCGGTCGTTGGAGAGGGCTCAAAAGAAAAAGGGTTTTCCCGCCGGTTTGACGCCTCTCTCGCCATCGATGTGGCTGCGATTGCACACCGGTGTGTATGTGCACGTCTATAGCGTGCACGTGTGAGTCAAAACCCTCTCGTGACGTTTGGTGACCGCGGCTTACTTGAGGGAAGGATGTGGCGGGTGAGTGCAAAGGCTGCCCGGCCGATTTCGTACGATAAGGTGCAGCAACCTCACCACCCTACGCACCAAATTGGCAGTTACAGTACATGAGACCGAAAGTAGAGCCGAGATTATTGTCAGTGACGCAGGAAAATGAAATGAAGATCTAAAATAGGGCACCTGTAATTATCTTTCGTGGCTGAAATAAGATCCCAAAGCATATGATTTCTTCTTGCTCATCCTTCACCCCATCGTTTCAGTTGCCATCTGCCGGTTTTCTTAAACTAGGATTTGTTCACTCTTAAACGAACAAGAGCCGCTTCTTCGAATGGACCGGTAAACTGCTCAGGGTGGTGACATGCCAATGAACTTTCAAAAAAAGTGTTTAAACGCAGGAGTCCTCGACTGAGTGTCTTGCAAAGTTGACTAACCATAGAATTGTCATATGTAGCTAGCATGGCTCCCCATAAAAGAATACCACTGCCTAAACAAAGCTGAACAAAAAATAAAAAAGTTTTAGCAATTGGTTGTCAAAGAGAGGTCCGCGCAGCAATTTTAAGGGTTTGAAACCTATTCTCGAAAAAGGTCAAAAAATGCTTTTTTGAGGCCCACTATGTCCAAAAAACCACCTTTTTTTGTACGATTCAAAGCATAACTTTTTTTACATTGCAGTGTGGTAGACTTGTTTGTTCATCTCCTTGAGATGACTGTAAAGCTTTTGTTGCAGTTTCCTATAGCTTATGCACGACCAGCAGGCTTTTTTCTAGGCTTGCATGGTTGAAGAGCAAACAAAGCTAGGAACAAATTGAACGTGGTTTCACCCCCCCCAACTTGTTGACAAGCTGTCGAGACGCAACAGTCGCGGCGCTTTAGTTTGACCATTCATTACCAGTCATAAATGAAAGACCTGCATGCAGGGTTAATTTCAAATTTCAAGCTGCATATTGTGTTATTTCATGACTTCACCTCTTTTCTCTCAATTCAAGGGGTTCCTCATCGCATCCACCTACAAGGGGTCCCAAAACATCCATGATTGAGAACCACTGCTCTATCAGCACTGTAGTCGCGAAAAGCGTTATTTGAAAAGGAACAATTTAATGGTCACATGAAACTAACAAGTAACGTTTCGCTGTCATGGCAAGGTTTACAGAAAAAAAACACAAACATCATCAGAAGTTTCGAGGACGTGCTGTTCAATCTGTAAAAAAGCTCTCCGCCGTATGCGTGTGCATGTGTGTGTGTGTTTTCACCAATTTCATAACTTGAAGGACCTTCACTTTCTTTTACTCTGGGATCATGTAACTTGTTTGGTAACGGTTTCACAAAATAGCAATAATTTCCAACCGCTAATGTGAAATTACAATCGGAATCAGCGAATCAAATTTTTACTGGGCGAAAAATTGAAAAATCGTGGATAATGAAAGCTGATGTTCATGATGTTATTTTTTTAGAAGGGGCCTCTGTAGACTTTCGTATTACGCTTTCGACCAGCACTCTCTTACACAGAGCTGCAAGTACATCTCTTGCTGCAATCAAACCTTCAAGGACTTTTCATAGCTTTTTTTTGTCTAGTTATTAACTGGTGGACCCAGCGTGCAGCCGAAAACAAGGAGTTACCTAGTATGTCTGTGACCTAATTCCGGTCAAAATTTGAATTGTTTGCCAGCCTGGTGACTCATTCAGTGGCTTCATTATTCCCGCTAGAGAACACTCGCTTAAATTCAATTATCTGTGACGTGCTCCAATGGCACAGAAGCTCCGGTCTAAGAAGGAGCACTTTTTTTTTGTTTTGGCAGTCGGTATACCTTCTTTCGAGCGTTGATTGTGTCGTTCCCTTGTAATATGATTATGCGTGCTCTTTTGGTCGTTTCTATCTGGGAGAAATCTTGCTCTTTGCCCTGTGTGTTGAGCAGAGAGCGCAAGTACGCAATTGCTAGGTAATCGTCGAGGAGCTGCTTCTTATGGCTTTGTGTAACACCGATACTCGCCTAAGGGTCGATATCTTGTGCCGAGAGCGTATACAATTATCAGAACTCACAATAACATCGGTAACAATACGCTTGATTTCGCGGAGAACGCCTTCTATCCAAATTCTTTTTGTGCGTGAAGCTGCTTGCCGACGCGATGCGCATGCGTCCATGGGCTGAGCTGCACGAAATTGAACGTTGCCGAGATATCATAAAATGCTTATAGTAAGTAGGCACTACGCACTGGAAATCCTTAAGTTTTTCTTGTGGTGGCACTTGTAAAGGGAAAGTGTCAAGGTTTTCAATATCTTTCCAAACAGAAAATGCCATTTTCGTAAATGCTGGGCTCCACTCGACAAATCCTTCAGGATGCAGAAGTGCCTAACGCTTAAATACCCATGACTTCTACCACGCGTTACGTTGCGTCTATAGACACGGAACAAGGCAAGGGAAGCAGTGAGTTTGCTTGAAGGGGCTTTTCAATTTTAAGTATAGTCTTTTAATCATTTAGGTTTATTCTTGTATGACCTATTATATTCAAATATGAAAATTAGATTTTATAGTCCAGTTCAAGGACAAACTACCCGGGGCAAATCATATGAGTGCACGATGACATAAAGAGAGACAAAGTAAAAACAAACAGCTTGCTGAGTTTACTTAGAGCACAAGACTGCAGATTGACAAATAATGAACTTTCGCCACTTAATTCACTCACTACATTGGAGTACAAAACGATAGGAATGCAAAAAATTGACAGCAGAGCGACAAAATGTCACAGCTTTGCCGAAAAGGCGAAGCAGTGAACGTGATAGCAACAAATAGGAAGGTCACGCACAGAATGGCAAGCTGACAGAAACGTTCCCCACGTTTCTCACAAACAAATTAGGCACGAAACGTGCTCACTCACAGGTGCAGATCAACGCGAATAAGCGTCGCATTCCTTACTTCACTGTGTCTGAAAACCGCGCTCTTTCCCCATACGGAGACTGTGCAACGATTGCAGCGACCTTTGTGCGCCCGGTAACCACAACAGAATCGTTCCGAGGAAAGCCACAGGCCAGCCAAAGCGTACAATTCGCCCCACTGCCAGATAAGGGCATGCGATCGAGCTTTCACCTTCTACTCTCTGCGGGGCAAAATACGCGTGGGAGATTAGAGCGCGCGCCGCCGTACGCTCATTGCGCCATCTTGCTGGTAATGACGAAAACACGATCATCCCCCCCCCGAGACGCCCATCACCAGCGATAAGTGGTAGATATAAACAGCTTCCCGTTGGAACGTTGAAGGAGGTGACCCTCGATGGCTCAGTGGTGAACGCCTCACACTCACAATTCGGAGGTCCCACGTTCGATTCCTCGCACCGGAGTCTTCTTGTGGATTATTTTCCTTTATTGCGTTCATATATATATATATATATATATATATATACACGGCGAGTGACGGTGACGCCCACGTTGACGCTGGCGGCAAAATCCAGCCGAGAGTGTCCATATAATTACTATCGCAATAAAACAGGCACACCAACGCTTCTAGGGTAGGGTGATGTGGCGTCGCAGTTACTGAACGCGGCGCACAGAACTAATGCTTTTACGAAGGGTTTAGGTGAATGTAATGCATTAGCGGTGCAACAAAAGAAGGGAAGTCAATGTTTAAGTGAGCGGCAAACTATAGGTCTGACTGTGAGTTCGCCGAGGCTAACGCTCTATGCAAGAACTTCACTTTCGCTGAATGACCTTGCTTTCTGCTGCAGCAAAAACTTGGCAGTGAAAAAATTCGTACCACCTAGTCATTGCAATCCATTTGAACAAAGTACCCTTAGAGAAAACTAGACGCACTGCAATCATTATGGGCCTGCATGCTCCCACCTCACGTCGTTGAAGTCTCGGCTGCTTGAACATTTCAGTACCAAGCGATTGGCGTCTAATACCAGGTACGATATTTCACCATAATGACTTCCCAGGAATCGCGCTTACTTAGAAGCGTTTTTTTTGCTATTGCAAGTTTGATTTTCCTCTATTTCTTTTTTTGTTGCAGCCCAGTTATCTATATATACAGGCAGATTCGCTTTACCATAGCCACGTGTATATGTACCAATAACGTTTCTGTAAGTTATCAAATGGTTACTTTATCGCGACTTGGTAAAGACAGTGACTTCAATACGAATGCGAAAAAAAAGAGAAATAAAAAGTAAAGAAAAGTGCGTCAAATTTGCATGCCTCAAAAACATATGATAGATAAGTGGGGTTTAACGTCCCAAAACCACAATATTGTTGTGAGAGACGCCGTAGTGGAGGGCTCCGGAAATGTCGACCACCTGGGGTAATTAACGTGCACCTAAATCTGAGCACACAGGCCTACAGCATTTTCACCTGCAGCCTCAAAAGAAGCTTTGGGGAAAGCAGCAAAAAATTATTCACGATTGTGCATGAATCAATTGTTTTTGCGATGAAACAAGCACGACAAGAACACGACCAAAAAAGAAGAAAAAAGAGAAGCGGGGACCTTTTACTTAGGGTGAATCAGTGTTGCAAGATGCTACTGAGCAATTGAGCAAATGTACATAACAAAATAAGCCCAAAAGATGTTGAAACATAATGATTTTTTTCCATTATTGAAGATATTTTTATTTAGAAGAAAAACATGCCCCAAAGTACAGAGGGGAGCTCAAAGAATCACCTAATTGTTTCGTTCAGTGAAAATATGCGCAACTATAACTGAAAGCGAATACCTACTTTTAACATTGCCTCCAGCATAGCTTCCATTAGGTGGAAGTTATGTTCGCGCCAGTCCATGATTAACATTAGTTGTCGCTTTCAGCAACGT